AAGAATAATGTTCAAGGCAGACATGCTTTACAAATTATGCTAAATTATTGTTTCGTTTTAAGGATAGTTCATGGGTCATTTTGGTTTAAGGTTTAGAGGGTATTTTAGAGAAATAATTTCAGAAACTCATCCTACCCCCATGACTCCAGAGAGAGAGTCTGTAGTCCACAAGAATTTGGAACTCTCTTCATTGATCAGAATATTCAGTAATAGTAGCTATGAACCTTTTTTTTCTGGTCTTCTGCCAATAGTGGCAGTTGTGCATGGTGATAATTCACTATCCATTCCATAGCCTTCTCCTATTACTGACTCTCCTTCCTCTTTTGTTCCAAGGAAAGAACAACCAATTGTTGTGCCTTAGAAGGCTGCTTGGAACCTTTTAGCACCTCAGGAACTGTGCAATTGACTATTAAGTAGAACAGAAGCACTCTGCATGTAATTCAGTCACTAACTGGCCATCATACAAAACCATGTTCTGAACCCTCCAAACCAAAGGACCAACCTTCATGAAGTGTTTAGTTATACATAAGCAGTCTCATCATCTACATTTTGTCATTGTTGTAATCATATTTATCATATAAATGATACCAATTTAACTTATTACAAGCATACAACTTATTGACAGCAATTACATTAATCAAATATACAATGTGATTTTTCGATTACTATAAACCTAAACTAAATAGTCCACAAGAAATAAGCCCCCTTTCCTTCTCTAGCATGCCCTTAGTGACCATTTTAATATACTTTGATCTTATATGTTTTCCTGTTTTTGTTTTTGTTTTTTTGAACAAGTGAAGTCAAACAGTATTTATTCTTTTGTGATTATTCCCTCTCAGCATAATGTCCTCAAGGTAGATCCATATTATAATTATGTATGAGGAATTTGATTTTTCTTCTGGCTGAGCAATATCCCGTTGTATGCATACAGCAATTTTGTTTATTCATTTATTCAAGAATGAACACTTATATGGTTTTCACGTTGGGCTAGTGTGAATAATGCTGCAATGAACGCTGGCGTACATGTCACACTTTGAGTCTCTGGCTTAAAGCCTTTTTGTCCATACCAAGGAATGCAATTACTGAGTGATACGGTGTTCTACTTTTAGTGTCGGAGGTACTGCTACACTGTTTTTTGATTGCGTTTTTCACAAAAGCGGTTCCATGTTGCATTCCCACCAGCAAGGGTTTCAATTTACCTACATCCTCATGAATATTTGCTATCCTCTGTTTTGTTTTAATTTTTTTCTTAGTCATCTTAATGGGAGTGAAATGGAATCTTATTGTGGTTTTGATTTTCATTTCACTGATGGAGACTATCTTTTCTTGTTTGGTTGACATTTGAATATCCTCTTTAGAGAAATGCCTATTCAACTCCTTTTCCCATTTTATGATTGGGCTATTTGCTTTGTGATAAAGTGTCAGTATTCTATATATTTGGAGTTATTAGATCCATACTGCATATATGATTTCTGAAGAAACTGTAGCTTGTCTTATCACTTTTTTAAAGTAAGATCTTAAAAAAGTTTTATTGGGACATAATTCACACATCATTACAATTCAATAGTTCATCACTTCAAGGTCTGTGCAATCATCATCACAATCAGTTTTAGAATATTTTGTTCATTTTTGTATTCATTATTATTTGCTCCCTATTTCCATTCAACCTTTCCTGCCGTACCCCACAGGAACTTGTTTCTTTTGATGAAAAAGAGTTTCAAAAATTTTATTAAGTCCTATTATTCTTTTCACGTTTGTTATTGTGTTTTCATTATTGTATTAGATAATCCATTCTTAAAAACTTGACCCTGCATTTTTTCCAAGTATTTTATGGTTTTAGTTTTCACATTTGTGTACTTAATTCGTTTTTAATTTGTTTGTGTATATGTTGTGAGGCACGAATCCTGTTTCATATCTCTGAGTGTGGAAATACATTTTCCCAACACCATTTATTGAAGAAAACCTTATTTCCCTATTGAATGTACTTCATACCCTTGTCAAAAATCAATTGGGTACAAATAAGTGGCTTTACTTCTGAAGTTCAAATTCTATCCCATTAGTGCATGTAGGGACTGTGATGAGTTGTATGAGCCCCCAATAAAATGATTTTAAAAAATTCTATCCCATTGGTTTATGTGTCTATTGCTATTAATTACTCTCACTGTTCAATATGATTTAAAATCAGAAAGTTTGGGTGTTCTTACTTTATTTCCCTCTTTCAACATAACTTTAGTTATTCAGGTAATTTTATATTCCATGTAAAGTTGAGTATTGGTTTTCTATTTTTGCAAAGATGTCTGTTGAAATTTTGGTTGGCATTGCATTGAATCTATATATAACATTGGGGACTATTGACATTTTAACATGAAATTATCCATTCTATGATTATGGGACGTATTTCCATTTATTCAAGTCTTCTTTAATCACTCTTGGGATGTCCTGGTGGCATAGTGGGCTGTGTCTTAGGCTGCTAAGCACAAAATCAGCAGTTTGTATCTATCAATCGCTCTTCCACCAATGTACTTTAAAAATGATTTTCAGTGTTTAAATCTGTCATGGAGCCCCAAATATGTGTCATTATG